TATAAATAACTCAATACTTATTGGTCATTCAATCAACATTTTACATATAAAATAATAAATTAATGATTTTTATATAATTTTTCATTTAGCACTCATAGTGAGCATATAAAGCTAAAAATTATTTTTGCGCCATTTTTTGTTTCTTTTTCCCGTCAATATATTACAAGAGAAGGTTCTCTACAAATAGACTTATGGAAAATTTTCCGCCTTTTTTTTGTTTCTTTTTATAGTAATTTTTTTCCTAAACTTTATAGGAGAAAGAAAAATAGATTACGGCTAACAACAACTGTTGAAAATATACGATGTCTCACTTTGCAAGCATGTGCATTTAGATGGCACGATGAATCTCCAATATCTACTAATAGTGGAAAGTTTATCGAAAAGATAAAGTTCATGAAAAGAATGAATGATAGTGTTGGATACGTAATCTTAGGAAATGCTCCAAGAAATGCAAATTACACTTCTCCATAAATTCAAAAGAATGTTTAGAATATTTTTGTTCATCAAGTGAAATCTGAAATTCATGAGGAGTTGGAGCAATGAAATTATGCATCCTAGTGGATGAAGCGAGATATAATCCAACAAAGAGCAGATGGCGATTTTGTTGAGGTTTATCTATAATGATGACTTTATAAGAGGACATTTCTTTGCTATTGTTCATGTTCTTGGTACAACCCCACCGACGCTTAATAAAAACAATATCAAATGCTCTAGATCAACATGACTTACATGTTCACAATATGCATTGACAGGGTCGTGATGGTGCTAGCAACATGTGTTGCATGGATGGGTTGCAAGTTGTTATTCTTGAAAAAGTATCCGAGTGCATATTATGTTTACTATTTCGCACATTGACTGTAATTTGTAATCTTAAAAATGTCTCTTCCAAACGCTACTGTGAGTCGCAAGTTGCTCCAAAAAATGAAATCGCACATGAGATAACAACGGGATAATGTGATACATGTAGAGGGTGTAATCAAATTGGGAATTTACTTAGACCAAGAAAGAGTCAATGAAGTTCTAATTTTGACTTACTTTCTAGTATGATAAATATGTATAACTCTGCGGTCGTCGTGTTGGAGACCACGGTGGATGAAGGATCTTCTAATTCCATTCAAGGTGAAGTGGGTGAATTTTTCATTGCAATGAAGTCATTTGATTTTATATTCATATCATACTTGATACAAAAAATAATGAGAATAACAAATTTACTTTGTCCAGCATTGCAAGAGAAGTTTCAAGACATTTTAAGTGCAACGGACAATATTTTAACTTTTAAAGCGTTACTTCTAACATTGGGAGAAGAAGGTTTTGGTACCCATCTTCAAAATGTAGAGGAAAATTGTGTCTTGATGTGCCTCAAATAGAAGCTCATTATAAATCCGCTACATGTCGTTCAAGTCAGCTAAATGATTCAATAACAATTGAACATCTTTATCATTTTGATGTATTTAACTGGGAAATAGATTTTTAAAGAGTAATAGCAGATTCAAGGATGAAGCAATCAAACTTATTCCATTGTATCAACATTTGCTATCATAATAAGATCCATACAAGCCTAAATAAACTGATTTCTATGGTAACACACACAGGCTGTAAGACCCTCATCCCAAATTGTGCTCCACGGATTTGTTTTCCCTAACTCAGAAGTCGTAATTATGGATTATATAATCGGTTATGTATTCACAGAAGGCAATTTTTCAGTAGACATTTTTGAAGTGCAGCCAAAATGATGAAAACTACAGATTAGACATGCCCTGATAAGAAAAATATAAAGTTAGTATCCTGACTTCAAACCTAATGTCAAGGTCATTAGCTCGTCTATAAATCAATGGATGAAAACTGCAGATTAGACATGCCTCTCGATAAAAACAATATAATCTTGTATTCTGAACTCGAGCCCAATGTCAAGGTCATTCATTAGCTTGTCAACAAAATCAATGGGTGAAGTTGAAGGACACGGAAAATCACGGACTGACGGAGTTCACCTAGTCAATATAAAAACAAAAAGAAATTATGCAGGCAAAAGTTTTGTTATTTTATTTTATATTTTTTAAAGTTATGTAGTTACAGTGAACAATATCTGGAACATGCAAAATTAAACCAAACGCCGGAGAATTATTTTAAGCAACCAAAAGACATAATAAAGTAAACCAAGCAATTGTGCTTTGCCACAAAAACCAAATATCTTAACAGCTAAGTAAGAATACTCATATCACTACAATTTTCAGCACAAACTTTGGCTATGAGTTAATGAAAGCAATTTCAAGCTTATCGATGTCAGCCTGCAAGCATGATCCACCAAACAGAATTATCGAAGGAGTAATACATTTCAACTCATAAGATAAAATAAACTGCCCTAATCTTCAGAAACTAAGTGTCAAATTACCGAAATTCCAGTACAAACGCATCCAAAAATTCTATCACTTTAAGGGCTAATGCTCAGAAGTGTAGTTGTGATCTCAATAGTAAGCTATCTTTTGGTGATTACTCACAAACCACAAGGAGAGTTTTTTTATTTATCCCATAATTTACCATTCTGAGACGAAATGTGATTTATCACTTTTCCTTTGTCAACTCTGAGAAAAAAAAATGATCTTATGCATCTGCAATATCAACAGCCCAACCTGCTAGACTACATTACATTGCCAAGATGATCTTATGCATCTGCAATATCAACAGCAAAATACCAACAGCAATATCAAAAAATGACTTTTCTTTCCAAATTATACTTCAAATCCCGTGTTACAAAGTCTATCGTTAAATTCGCCAACTTCAATTCAATTAAATCGATTCCCATTTTCCGTCCAAATTATCCCATGATCAAACATCTTGAGTGGTTAAAACTAGCAGGAATAATTACAAAGCAACACCTAAGTTTATCCAAATTGCACAAATATAATTAGGATTACAGATACTCACAGCTGCTGTAACACATCAGTTTTGACTTTGCAAAGTGACAACTCCCCGGAAAAGCCGTGGCTAAGCTTTCAAGCAATATTCCACACCAATGAAGCCCACAGTACAATAGAGCCCAAGTTACTGATTTCACAAATCTGCAGAAATCAACAGCCCCAAGCATTCTCAACAGACACGACAAAAGGCTACAATTGAATTCCCTAAATCAATTTTGTCACCGCACGATTGAGACCAAGCCGTCGCCGGCCGCCTCACTCTCGTCCAGAAACAAATCCTCCGTACACCTAAACACGGCGTGAAGGCTAACCACGACCACCCAAACAACCAGAGCCGCCAGGACATTCGAACCCACGTGAGTTAACACCAATGCCACCACGGTGACCAAGCTCAAGACCGCCAACACGGCGCGGTCGTCGAGGGTCCGGCCAAAGGCGACGAGGGGATCCTCGCGCCTGAAGTAGAGGTAGAGCCAGGCGGCGGACGCGATCAGGAAGACGATCATGGAGACGGGGTGGTAGACGAGGCTGCAGAAGATGATGGCGAGTGCGAAAAGGGCATAATTGGCGCGGAAATGGTTGAAGTTGTGGCGGAATCTGGGCATGGCGTCGGCGTAGCTGTAAGGGATGGAGAATGCGGAGATGTCGAAGAAGAGGCGCCAAGGACGGGTGGCTGAGTTTTGGGCCATTGTCGCCTGACTTGGTAGAATCGGAAACGGAGATTTGCGCCGGAAATTATCAAATCTACAGTTGAAATCCAGACATATCGTATATTGACATGAAAAAGACTATGATTCATTAAATTTAATAATTATCTAAAAAATACTATTGAAATATATGATTTTTATATTGACATGAAAAAGACTATGATTTTTTTTTTTTTTTTTTTNNNTTTTTTTGGTACAATAAAGGGGGGCCGAAGCCTAACTACTGCTAAGACAAAGTGCGACGGGAATAAGCAACCCCAATAATGTCATGCTCAAGCCACATTCCAATGGACGGAAGTGGGACGGTTAAATGGTGCACCCGAGGGGTTCAGACGCAGCTAGTGATGTAATATCCCATTCAGTAATTAATAAAAGTAATTATTCTAAGTTTGAACTAAT